CGCCTTCGTGGGGAGGCTCCGGGCAAATTGCACCCAGGCGAGGTGCAGCAGATCCAAGCGGCGGCCGCAGCTGCAACGGCCTGGAGCCCGGGGCAGCAGGCGGGCCCTTGAGCCAAGATCATCTAAAGACTGACACAGACGTAGATCTGTTTTTGAAGAAGGATATGCGTTTACTTCACCAGCAATAGTTCTTTACAAAAAAGTACATCCTATTGCCCCGAGTTCTGCCTTCTTAGGGCAGGCGGAGGTTGCCAGGTGCCTGCCGCTGGCCCAAGGGCATTCAGGCCTTGATTCAACAATGCCAAAGAGATTGGAGACGGAGCGAAATCCCCAGGTCCCGAGATACATAAAGCTTCCCACTCGTGCGATCGAGGTTCCCACTGAGTGTGCCAGTCTACCCCGGCAGTGGCACTTCTTTGCTTGACCCCCCCTTGAGTTTTATACCCGTGCCACTGCTAAAGCTGAATCAATTCGAACAAAATCCAAGCATCAAAACGCCGCTTAAAGACGGGTCCCAAGCAAAACGTTGGCATGGACCTGTTTTGGCGGCCATGCTGGTTTCGAGTTTCGCCCCGCCTGCTGCAGGCTGCCATGTATGCAGGCGGTGGGTTTGCTGCGGAGTCCCCAAAGGCCTTGCAGGATGCGGTGCCTCGGAGTGACCAAACCACAGGGCCAGGGGGGATAGCCACCTGCCGAGGCTGGTCTTTAGATGCAGATGGTTGGTTTATTCATGTTGTTGTTTAAATGACACCTTTTGACACAGGTTGGGAGCCACTTTCAGCAGGGGACGCTTAGATACTCTGCCCTTTGGCATCCAACCGTGGCAAGCATGGCTATTTCGAAAGAGTTTGCCGGATGACTGCACAGAAACAATAGCAGCAGAAGCTGATGCCTGTTTGACTCCTTCGAACAGCTCCGCTTCTTTTGGCTCGGCCTGCCTGAGGTTCAGAGCCGCATTTCCTACGCGATGCTCATGGCCCTAGACCTGGTGGCCCCGCAGTCCCACAACGCCACGGTGGCCCCCGAGCCGCCCGCCACACGGGGCCTTTGGGGAAGCGTCGAAGGTCCGAACGTTGAGCTTTGCTTCTTGTTTGTTTTTGGTGGTTGCTTGTTTGCTTCGGTTTTTTGTGTTTCTCCGACTTTGGGAGCTGTGCATAATTTTTGGTGCCGTCCGGTTTCCATGTCACAAAAGCGCCTCACTATTGTTATTGGCTTTTGTTGTTGGTTCTCGTCGTTTCGTGTAGCTAAGAAGCCAGCATGAGTTCTGAGAAAAAAGGCAGTACACGGGGGGCTGCAAGATGCTGGGGTTGGCAATGAACCATTTGCGCGGTCACGGGCAACTTGCGAAAGAAAAAACAAAAACAAACAAGCGACAAGCTTGGACTTGCACTGAGCGTCTCCCTGAAACCTTCCGTGTCAAACTGCATTCAATGTTGTCTGCTAGGACATGGGTGTGGCTCAAAATTAAACAGGAGGGGTTACGCAGGTTTTGGTCCATGTTTGCACTTACCAGGGTTCCATTTTGGTACCGGTTTTTTCGAGCCACAGCCATATGTCAAGGCTGAGTGGAGGCTGCATACACACATGTCTCAAGCAGCCACAGCGACTCACCTTATGTATTGGATGTTGCGCTTGCTTTGGCTCAAGGCTCGCTTCTGGCTGGCTAGACGCCATACACGAGTTAAATCGCGTCATACCGTTTGAAACTGCCATGGGCAGTTTCGCTCTTCTTGCATTGTGGGCAGTGGGTGCCTTGGCGGGTACCAGCCCGCAGTGCGAAACGCCGGCGGCAGGAGCCTCGCTGCTATCCACCAAAGTCACAACGGATCGTGTCACAACGGATCGTGTCGGGGAGGTGAGTGCCAAGGCTACCAATGTCACGAACCAAACCCTGAATGAGTCGTTGCCCCACTTGGTTAAAGACAACTTGGCAACGGACGCCGACCGCACGAATGACATGCCTGGTGTGAACCTTACTGACTCATTGAACCACCACGGATTCGAAGCGCTCGTGAAGCCCTTCGAGTTCCTGTACTACAAGGCCGGAAGCTATCCAGAATCATAGTCGTGAGTCATCGTGAGTCCCTTGAGCAATTAGCTGGACCAGCTGTCGTGTGTGCAGCGCGGGCCGCAAGGTTGCCCTGAACTGTTGATAGCTGAATGCCAGCATTGTGAGCAAGTTGGCCCTTTCCCAAGAGCAGAGAAAAGGCTTTGCCCTCCGAATGGCAAGGCCTTTCGTAAGGCAAACCAGGGGTCTACATCAACCATGTTGGGTTGAGCGGGGGGGGTTGCACTCGCTTTCCGGTGCTTCGGGGCTGGGAAGGGGCTGGGAAGGGTTGCAGGGAGGGGGGAAGATCTACTATAGTCGTGGAGTATGTATGTCCGCCGGGCTACGCTTGCAAGCAAGCTGCCGCCCGTTTTCCTTTTCCCATGGATCCTTTTCAGGACGCAGCAGGGCTGGGTTGAAGGGTGTTAAGTACAGCCGCTCCCGAACCCCCAGTCCGCGGACACGCAATGCCTCCGCTTTCTTTGTGCGTTCCACTGAGTGCAGGTAAAGAGCCCAACTTGCCTTAGGAATACACCTATACTTTGCAGCCCGACCACGCAAGCAAATAGGTTGAGGTTGCGATTTGCTGATGGGGTTGAATGTTTTGCGTCGATGGTGAATTTGTCCTCTGGTTAGCATTCTGCACTGGCGAAAATTGCGCGCTGTTCCCCATGAGCGAAGCGAATGATTTCTGCCTTTCGGCATTTTGGTTTAGATTTCATGGGTACTTGTGGTGCCGGTGGCCTGTGCAGCACAGCAGCCATGCTCCAGCCTCCAGCAATCCATAGCAATCCAACATGTTGTGCTCGTAGATCATCTCTGTTCGGCAGATCAGTGCCAGGTGGCGCAATTGGAGACGGCCATTGCGCTGCAGAACACCGAGATCCAGGTTCTGTCTCAGCAGCTCGATGCGAAGGCGGGGCACAGCGCACGGGAAAGCACAGCACTGAGGGTTTTGGACTTGTAAGTGGGCATTTGCTTTTTCAGCTTACGAGTCTGCACTCGAGCAGCGGCTTTTTGCAAAGCCCAGGCCCTCGAAGCCCGACAAGTCATTCCTGTTAACATCAAATCGGGGTTGGGCTCGCGAGCGACTTAGCCTTTTGCAGGCCAGGTTTGGTTTCTACTTTGGGCGTTCAAGCCTGTTGTCGTTTGGCCCTCCCCGCTCGGCACGGCAGGCACAAGAGGTGGCTTCCTTGACAGCGATCAAGGAGTACTACCAGAAGAAGGCCCTAGTCCTGAGAGAGTCGCTTCGGCGTCAGCAACTATCCAGGGATGTTCGACACTTCTCAGTGATGCTGTAGAGGAGTTTCGAATTTTGGGATTTCCTCCAGTTGCCAGCGCCCCTAAATTGAACTGCTGAACCCAGATCCCTGAAAAACCATTTGATGGACCAGGGAAATTCACCCTTCGATTGCCAAAGTGATGCAAGTTCGTTTCTGGCACTGGCGTCTTTGATGAGGATGCTGCGCCAGGACAAGGATCTGGACGAAGTCGTCCAGAAAGCTGTTCTGACGGAGCGTGCCGCCCAGCGAAAGCAGCAAGAGCAGAAGGCCGGGGTGAAGATGTTGATGGTTTTTTGAAGTCACATTGTCAAGCGTAGACATTCAACACCCCCCGGCCAATTTGCAGAAAGCCGCGTTCTCATTTGGAATCAGGTTTGACTTCAAACGCTGCCAGTGCTTTCCCCCGTGGCCGTCTTGAGCCGAATTCAAGGAGCAAAAGAAGAAGGACCTGGCAGTGGAGATCCTGCGGCAGGTCTTCCGCAAGAACGCGCACCAGCACTCGAAGGGCTTCCAGACCCCGGTGCCAGCGAGCCTCTTGCAGAAGGCGCCGTTTGTAGAGATAGGGCAGACGTGTCCGTGTGAGTTGGCCCTTTTGGGGAGTTGGCAACGGGCATTGCGATTCGGGGCTTTCCGGAAGCGACGTCCAGGCCGCAAGCAGCGCCGGCGCCGGCGGGTCCAGCGGGTCCAACAGCTCCGCGCTGGCGCTGCGCGCCGAGGGCCGTGGCCAGGCGGCAGCGCTGGACAGCTCCGTGACGGCCAAGGCCTTTGACGCCGTGAGTACCGCGGCCAGGGACGGACACTGGAAGGGCCATGGGCAGGGGACAGATGGGACAGATGGGGCAGTTGACACTTCCGGCCTCAATCCCCTTGGCCATGCTGGACCTGTCAATGCGGCGATTGAACATGTCAGTCAAAACCCTTTGGGTGGATGCGGCGAAGAGGTTCTATTGCGACGTGTTGCGGTCCTTAGGCTCCTTTTTTGATTCCTGCGCGAAAACAGTGGTGTAGCGCTGATGTTAGGCGGGAGTCTCCCGCGCCCCCTGCCTGGCCCGGTCAGTCGTGAGTCTCAGTGCCCAGGTGATGCCTACAACGCTGCCAGTGACAAGGCGTCCTTCGTGGCAGGCGAGGTCATTGACACCGTCGAGCATGCAATGGCCATTCTGGTGAACGGCTTTGACATCAGCGCCAGCTGCTCGGCCGCCGATCCCAGAAACGCGTGAAAGTTGCACAGATGCGCGGCTTGTGTGCCGCTAATTCCGAGGACTGAACGGTTCGGAGTCTGGCGCAGTTTGCTTTTGCTGCCGCGGTTTAGGGCATTGTGCACGAGCCACACACGTGCAGGAAACTTGGCGAGGCCGCTAGAAAATGTCAATGAGTTCGGATCATGGAATTGTTCCAGTCAAGCCTTCAATAGGCAGATCCCGGGTGACACCCCAAGCCGTCCGTCCCAGTCCAGCCAAGACTGCGATGGCACCACCTGGCCCTCGGCTGGCGCGGACTCCAACGGCGCGCACATCGACTTCGGCCGGCAGAAGTGCAGCTTTACCCTGGTTGGGGAGACCATCACCTTGTTGCCCGGCCCTGTTGCCTGAGTTTCAGTCCTGTTAGGCTTGCGGAGGCACCTGACTTGATGAAATTGCTTTTGCTGGGCCTGACATTTGTTCCGAGGTCACCCTTAGGCTGCGGTTGCTCGTTGCCTTATTCGATTCCAACAACTGCCGGAGTCAGCGCGACGCTTGAGTCTGCCTCGCATGCCAAGTTTGTTTGCCCAACGGCTTCAGTATGGTAGTCCTGCTTTCCAGTCAGGTGAAGTGCCAAGGTTGAGCTTGCAAGTGGAAGGCCTGCGTTCTTACGATCGATGTGCGTAGTGCACTCCAAAGGGGAAGCAACTCCGTCCGGCGGAGCAACAGGTTCGACTTCAACTTCGGGCGCAAGAGCTTTGGTTGGCCAGGGGCCATCTCGGACATCGTCAAGCTGGGCTCAAACATCGTTGATGCCGCTCGACTTTAGTTCGGGGTGTTTGCGCATGCTTGCGCCAAGGAGCTCCGCGAGACGATTTTTGTCAACTGGGCGTGTTGATCCCGTTCAGGCCAAGGATTGTGGACTTATCTTATGAAGTTTTGGGGGGCAGAGCCTTAAGTAGGCAGAATCTTGAGGGGGCAAGAGGGTGGAAGCATACGAATGATCCGTTTCTGGCACGCGGCGCGACATGATGTGGTTTGCTTTGTGGACAGCACTTGAAAGGATGTCCTCCATGAGGGGCAAGAAGATCCGGGAGACTGATCAAAAGGTTGATGAGAATTCTATGAAGTTACTAAAGTTAATCCGAGACTGCGCTGATTCGGAGGCGAGTGGACATGGCAGGTCTTTGGTTGAAGTGGGTGGACATCCGTCATAAGGAACCGTTTGGGGGTGGACAATGGACGGTCTCAAATCCGCAGAACCTGAGTATGCCTCAGTTTTGCGACTGAGATCGCCAAAATCGTCGGCCAAAAGCTTCTCGACTACGTGCCGCCCTTCAGCCTCTTGTCTTATTCTTCTGCCCAAGCAGATGGCACAGCCCCAGCAAGATTGAGGAGATGGCCCCCAAGTCAAGAAGGGCTTTGCTCCGTGGCTTGCGTGTGCTGGCGGGGTGGGGTGGCGGCAAGCAGCAGGCTTGGAGTAGTGAAAGCTGCTTCGCTTCCCTTCGAACTGAA